ATGATTAATATTATCAGTAATGATTAAATAATAAAAATATTTATTAAAAATCATTTACCGGCTCATTCCTATAAACATGTATTGAGATAAAACTAAAGCAGCATCCATTTTATTTTCTTGTTATTTTATGTATTTTTTTATTTATATAAAGTAAAGTAAAAAATCTATCTCTTTATAGTTTTTTATTATCCTATTATAGCAATTCATTAACAAAATAAATCTTTTTTTAATCATAATTTTAATAAACAATACTATAACCATTTTTATTTCCTGTTTTCTTATCGTGCTCCATTTTGAAATCTATTGCTAACTGTTTTGCCTGTTCGCTAGTTCTATTTTTTGTAATAAAAAACCATTTAACTTTATGTTTATTATTTTCAATCATCCATTCGAATCTCCAAGCATTTTTGATTTTATCAAAATGAATTCTGTTATAACCAGATCTATTATGTTTATATAGTTTACAATTTATTGCATTTTCTCTCGATGACGTCTTTCTAAGATTATATTCTCGGTTATCAAGACCATTTCTGTTTATATGGTCAATCATTTTCCATTCAGGACGAATCATTCGATGAATCAATTTTCTTTTTTTAGAACTTGCTTGAATATAATTATTATGATAATGCTATGTGTATTCCAAGAGATAGAAATTTTTGATATCAATTAAAAAAGTAATTCCTGGCTTTTGAGTTTTCACTTCATAATAAAGTTTGTAATTAATAAGAACACATCTGTATTCGTTCAATTTAAAATTTGGTTTATCAGGATTTGTGACTTTGATCCAATCAACAGCATATTCAAAGTTGTCAAATTTCTCTTGCCAATTCGACATTTTGTTTAATAAAAATAAATATTACAGAATTTGATGTATTTATATATATTTTATTTCGAATTGTAATTTTTAATTGCTAAAATAAATCCTTCCCATAAATTTTCAGCATGTTTTCGTCGAAATACAAATTCTTTTAAATGTAATTCTAATTTTTCTTTAGTCCTATCTCTTTTTAATATGTTCATTTTAACACCATTCCACAATCCTTCGACGTGCTGACTATGAATTCGTTTTATAATTTGATTTTTACTCGGTTTTTTATGATTAACTCTTCTGTGTTTAAATCCCATTCCTATATTTTCCAAATCACTATATCCTTTCCATGAATCTGTATATATAGTTGAACCAGGTTTCACATGAGTTTTGATTAATCTTTTTAATGTATAAGCGTTTCGATCTTTTACCATTTTAAAAAAACATTTTCTTAGTTTAGTTCTTTCTACGATTCCAAGAACCCAATGATTATCATAAGCTTTAAATT